TATACAAAAATCCTGTTGTGCATAACTGCAAGTAGTGGGGAGGGGGAACTTTCTAGTCTCATGATTCAATCTTAATCTCCCAGTGCCCCTTTGCTGTGACTTCGTAAGCACTTTAGGTGTGGGACAGCTTCCCCAACACCCTCTTAAGAAAGGCAGGGAGGCTAGGAGCGGCATGGGTGGCGTGACGCTCTGCAGCTGGGGCAAGGCTTGCGGAAAGCATCGTCCCCTGGTGATAAGCCTTGTTTATGGAGAACGTGCTGGGAGTATTTCACTCTGATTATTCTTCCTCTGACCCAGCCAGGACTACAGGGGCTCTTTCTCAGATCTTCACTATGTGAGCCTGGTGGGGTTCCTAGAGGTAAAATCCACAAAGTGTGGGGGCCTTTTAAAAGGACAGCCCCCTAGACAGTTTGCTGTCTCAAATGTATCCTCACTTCGCTTTTAGCATTCGCTAGAATTAACACGTGCTTCTGTGACTTGGGCTCTAGAGAAGCAGATCTCAGACATCACTCTCCAAGTTTAGCTTTCTCTCCAGATTTCTGAGTATTAGTTTGCCTGTGTTGGTGCTCAAAACTTGAAACCTCAGTGTGTGGCTATTCAGTGTGCCAAGTGCTTTGCACTGAAAGAGAGCAGAAAAGCTCTGATGGCAGACATATGTGACCTTCTCCATCCTTCTCGTACTCCTCTTCTCTGTCTCTCTAAGTGAGTCACAGAAACCAAAATGTCTGTTCACTAAGGCTGGTCATATACACTGGAACTCCTCTTCCCCAAAGCAAGTTATAAAACCTAGAAAGGTTTCTTTTTTTCCCTTGAAGACCCTTATTCCATAGGGATCCTGCTTTATATCCTGCAGGAAGTAATGCTACACAGAGAAGACTGGAAGTATCTGTCCATGGTCTTTCTGGAGCACCCCCCCCCCCATCCTGTAAACATTTGGTCCAATCATTTTTTACACACTTGTCCATCCATTATATAATCTAAGCATAAAAATAAGTAGTTTTCTCTGGGTGCTTGTGTATTCATTTAAGGCTCCCATGTTATTATAAAACTGATTAAACAAATTTTGAAGCCTTTCTTATGTTATTCTTTTTTTATATTTTATTTGACAGGTAGAGTTATAGATAGAGAGAGAGACAGAGAGAAAGGTCTTCCTTCTCTTGGTTCACTCCCCAAATGGCTGCTATGGCCGGCAATGCGTCAATCTGAAGCCGGAGCCAGGTGCTTCTTCCTTGTCTCCCATGCAGGTGCAGGAGCCCAAGCACTTGGGCCATCATCCACTGCCCTCCTGGGCTACAGCAGAGAGCTGGACTGGAAAAGGAGCAACCAGGACTAGAACCCGGCACCCATATGGGATGCTGGTGCCGCAGGTAGAGGATTAGCCAAGTGAGCCATGGCACCGGCCCCCTGTCCTGTGTTTTGTTATAGAGGTGTTGTCTGTAACCTTTAAGGTGGGTAAGGAAAGCTATCATGCCTTTCCGGCACTACACTGTAAACTTCTGATCTTTGATAGATTCAAGAAAATTGATCAACTCTGATTTTTCTGCTTTTTCTTATGAGAGTGATGAGTTCTAAACTCTTAATATTTTGGGGATTAAATAATTAATATTAAGCATGATTTAAAAAAAATGTCTGCTTTCATTCTGTATTTGTAGATAAATACTGGGTTGTGATATAAGATGTAGTTCTTCCTGGGTTCAAAATGTTCCAAAAAATATTGCCAGGGCCAGCACTGTGGCATAGCAGGTAAAGCCGTCACCTGCAGTGTCAGCATTCCATATAGGCACCGATTCTAGTTTCAGCTGCTCCACTCCCGATCCAGCTCTCTTCTGTGGCCTGGGAAAGCAGCAGGAGATGGCCCAAGTCCTTGGGCCCCTGCACTCCTGTGGGAGACCCAGAAGAAGCTCCTGGCTCCTGTCTGCAGATCAGCACAGCTCCAGCTGTTGTGGCCATCTGGGGAGTGAACCAGAAGATGGAAGACCTCTCTCTCTGCCTCTGCCTCTCTGTAACTCTGCCTTTCAAATAAATAAAAGAAATCTTTAAAAAAAATTCTCATAAGGCAGAGAAAACAAGACTGTGGGCCAATTTTGCTGATGCTTTTCTTCTTCATATTCCCATACAGATTCATGTAATGGTGGTGTATATTGCTACATATCAACAAATAGTTTTTTTTTTTTTAAAGAAATCTCTCATTAATTTATAGAACACTGCAGTTGAAGAAAAGATTTGGAGTGAAGGAGGGAGGGAGGATTGGGTAGGAAGTGTCATTATGCTCTTAAAACTGTATATATGAGGCTGGCGCCGCGGCTCACTTGGCTAATCCTCCTTCTGTGGCGCCGGCACCCCAGGTTCTAGTCCTGGTTGCCCCTCTTCCTGTCCAGCTCTCTGCTGTGGCCCGGGAAGGCAGTGGAGGATGGCCCAAGTCCTTGGGCCCTGCACCCGCATGGGAAACCAGGAGGAAGTGCCTGGCTCCTGGCGGCAATTTGAGGGGGGTGAACCAACAGAAAAGAAAGACCTTTCTCTCTGTCTCTCTCACTGTGTAACTCTGCTTGTCAAAAAAAAAAAAAAAAAAAGAAGAAAAAAGAAAATGAAAAAGAAAAAAAAGCTATATATATGAGATACATGAAATTTCTTCCATTTATATAAATACGATTTTTTAAAAATAAAAAGATTTGAAAAATTTTAATAATTGGTAAATAATTTATTTACTACAAGTTTGCTATTTAACCATGTAGATAATATTATAGTATGGTAAAACTTGAGAAACATGGTATATTAGTTTTCTGCTTTTCTAATAAACAATTTGAACTTTAATATGTTTTATTCTTGCCATTACTCTTAACCAGTAATTATACTGACCAAAATATCCTTTTTAATGTCAAAAATTTTATTTGATAACTTGATTTGCTATTTGAGAAATATTATTTTAAGTATTTCTTAATTTACCATATTGACTTTTCTGTAGTGATTTCAGTCCAACAAGATTTAAACACTAAAATTAATTAGCTCAAAATTATTGTTCATTTAATTAGTTAAGACTACAGTTTACAGAAATAGGGGGATTAGATACAAGGAGGAAAGAACAGCTAGGGGAGGGAGAGGGGATTCTTTCTCATCTCACTTCTGCATGTACTCGTCCATGAAAGGAAGCTGTAAATGAAGTGTTTATAAAGGCCCCATGCAAAGTCTTTTCCTTCTTATAAAGTAATTCCAACCTAAACTGTGCAAGCAAGTCCGTGTAGGGGACACACGCTTTGCACAACAACGGCCTACAAATGCTCCGTAATTGAACTGCAATAAGCCCCCCTTGCTTTGCCTTGTTTTTTTTTTTTGTTGTTTTTTTTGTCGCACAGGCAGAGTGGACAGTGAGAGAGAGAGAGAGAGAAAGGTCTTCCTTTTGCCGTTGGTTCACCCTCCCATGGCCGCGGCACACCGCGCCTATCCGAAGGCAGGAGCCAGGTGCTTCTCCTGGTCTCCCATGGGGTGCAGGGCCCAAGCACTTGGGCCATCCTCCACTGCACTCCTGGGCCACAGCAGAGAGCTGGCCTGGAAGAGGAGCAACTGGGACAGAATCCGGCGCCCTGACCGGGACTAGAACCCCGTGTGCCGGCGCCGCAAGGCGTAGGATTAGCCTAGTAAGCCGTGGCGCCTATAGCTACATTCTAAAAGGAAAAAAAAAACACACACAAAATATGCTCAGTGTTTAACATCAAATTCAATTTTATATATTTTTGCTATATTCCCAGTTCACAGTAAGATTGGGCATCTTTTTATTTCCAAATATTTATGAAGTCATATTTATGAGGTTTCACATGGTAATGTCACTCTCTGTTCATAAATGGATATTATAAACCACCAAGCAGTCCTGCATTTATATGAAAACATTCAGACATTAATATAGATTTTTACTTCAGTACAATGACTGGAGCAAGTGTGGTTATTTTAAATCTGACATAATTTATCATGCTGTAAGCAAAGCAGAATAATGAAACTGTTAGCTTCATAAATGAAACGATGAAATGATGGGAATATTACATGTAGAAATCAGCATGATGATAAAGCAATAAAAACTAATTATACTTTCCACAACAACAAAAAACTTGAATTCTTGAGGGTGAATTACAGGAAAAGAAAAAGATTAATGTAGGATGTAAATAATAAAAGTCCACTTTGGCTACCCATAGATATATAATCATGGACTCCAACATCGTGAAATGTACAATTCGAGATGAACAGAAACATCTAACAACTGATCTCACTACAGTGTATTAATCCTTTTAAAAGCTGTAGGAGATTGATATCAAAATGGGTCTCCAAAGTCACAGTTGTTTTGGCAGCTTTCTGCAATATTGGCCTTGGTATTAGAAAGTGTTGGGCTGTGAAGTTCGGGTTACTTTAGCTTTGATCCCATTTATTTATTTCATTTTCTGAATTAAAAAAGAACAGAATAGGATTTAATATTTTAAGGTCATCTTGAATTAAGGAATTACATGTGAAAAGAGCCTTGTGAGGTAGCATGAGATTATAGAACAGACCTGTATTTTTCTCTAGTCTTAATATCATAATATTTGGATATTTGAATAGGTATGTAGAAATACTCGTAAACATAGGTACCTAATGTAAATGTTTACATGTATTAAAACCTGCATATATTTTTTTAAAAATCCGATTATCTGTTAGCCCTAATGTTGAATAGAGTAAGTGATCTCAGCTCTGTATGTAATTGTTGATGTATATTAACAAATGCTCTCTGCTGTCAGTTTAAAAATGGGTGATGTTACTAGCTGTCACTTAGTTACAAAGTACACAAACTAATTTCTCATAATTTACACATTCTTCCTTTTGCAAATACAGATTAATAATAACAAACTTGGGTGTGAAAACTAAACACAGGAAGCACCTGTGGAACAATATTCATTTCTGTAGGGAAGTGAAACCATTTTTCATAAATTTATCGAAAGGAACTCAGGATGATGTTCTATAGTTGTATATAAAAGCCTTACCTAAAGCTTTCATACGCCAGACTTTCTTATTCCACAGGGCTGGTCGTGTTCTAATGCGCTTATTATTTGATGTAAATTCAGCCTCCACAGTCTCAACAATTACTTCATCTCTCAAAATAATGAATATTTCACCAGGATTCTATAAGATGAAAATGTGACCCAATTAAGCAACTGCAAAGTTTGCATTAACCAAAGAACTAATTTATTTATTAATGATAAAGGTCATAAACTATCCTTGAATAAGTCTCAAATTGTGTTTTTATTTTCAATCACATTCAGATATGAAAAATATAAATGTGATTCTCACTGCATTTTAAAGTCATAATTTTGGTGTTTTTTAAATGCTCTGTTTTTCTCCAATACCATGTTTTCCAGCTGAAACAACAAAGACCAGTGAGATTTGAGTTGCTCCCTTTTCCTCTTACCTCCTTCTATGTATGACTTCCTAGGCCATGGTCCAAGCAAGATTTTGCAGATACAGCAGGGGCTACAAAATCAATTGTTAATCAAATCCTTTTCCTTCTATCCTTCTACAACTCACCTTGCTTTTTATATATGAAGGTTGAGCAAGTTCAACTTTAAGAACTCTTAAATTTTAAGTATAATGTTATTTAAAAATTTTTAATGGTTGTATATTTTTATAAAATAGAAATTCTATGGTAATTATTTATGAGGGTCTTTGAAGGCTCTGAGTTGCTCAAAGGTCATACATCTAAATGTTTCAAGATTTAATTAAGATGGAAATGTTAAATCTAGGAATACAATGTAATTTTTGAAGAATTTTGTTTTTTGAAAAATAATTCAGAAAAAAATAATAGAGATGAGAAGACTGGAGTTTATTCAGAGAAAATAAAGGAATAAACATTCATTGAGCATCTATTTTATACCAGGAATTATGCTAAGTACCCTTTATATGAAGGCATTCCTATAAATCCTAATCAAAACATAAATACATATACACATACACATAGAAAAACCAAAACGGAGAAGGTTATTTCTCCCTTTTAGGTACAGGGCAAATAATACATAGACTTACATCCTGAAGAATAATGAAAACAATCTAACTCACAAATCTACATTATTCCAAAAATAAGTATTATCTTTATAAGTATATCATAAAGAAAGCAGATATCACCATTTAAAGGCTTTCTTCAATGTCATACTAAATTTTAGTCCTATAATAAACAGGAAGCTCATTTACACGCTCTTATAAAGTCATGCTTATGCATAAGATATTAATTTTAAAATTCTTTTATTTAAACATTATCTCTCTAAACATGAATCATCCTACAATAAAACACATCTGAATGATTTTTATTAGTTTTTTATGATTTATTTATATATTTGAAAGTCAGAATTATTACAGAGCAAGGGTTGGTCCAGGCCAAAGCCAGAAGCTTCTGTGTCTCCCATGTGGGTGATGGGATCCAAAGCACTCTGGCCATTTTCTGATACTTTTCCCAGGCTGTTAGCAGAGAGATGGATTGAAAGTGGAGCAGCCAGATTGTACAATTTGGGACATGCTCAATCGGACTTGCCCCAAATGGTGGAGTTAGAATCATGCCAGGGGATTCCAATACAATCCCATCAAGATGGCATGTACCAATGCCATCTCACTAGTCCAAGTGATCAATTTCAGTTCACAATTGATCACACTGATAGGTGTAAGAGTCAAAGGGATCACACAAACAAGACTAGTGTCTGTGAATACTAACTGATAGAATTAAAAAGGGAGAGAACCATCCAACATGGGGAGTGGGATACACAGCAGGCTCATAGAATGGCAGATGTCCTAAATAGCACTCTGGCCTCAGAATCAGCCCTTAAGGCATTCGGATCTGGCTGAAGAGTCGATGAGAGTATTTTAGGCATGGAAAGCCAAGACACTCTGGAAAAAAAAAAAAAAAAAGAAGACCTAAATGAAAGATCTCTGTGAGTGAGATCCCAGTGGAAAGAATGGGGCCATCAAAGAAGGAGGTACCTTCTCTGAAGGGAGGAGAGAACTTCCACTTTGACTATGACTCTGTCAGAGTAAGATCAAAGTAGGCGAACTCAAAAGGCTTCCATAGCCTTGGCAACTCATGACTAGAGCCTAGGGTGATTACTGATGCCATAAACAAGAGTGTCAAAGTGTTAAGTCAACAACAGGAGTCACTGTGTACTTAGTTCTCATGTGGGATCTGTCCTTAATGTGCTGTCCAGTGTGAAGTAATGCTATAAATAGTACTGAAACAGTATTTTACACTTTGTGTTTCTGTGTGGGTGCAAACTGATGAAATCTTTACTTAGTATATACTAAATCGATCTTCTGTATATAAAGGTAATTGAAAATGAAAAATGAATCTTGATGTGAATGGAATGGGAGAGGGAGTGGGAGTTGGGAGGGGTGTGAGTGGGAGGGAAATTATGGGAGGAGGAAGCCATTATAATCCATATACTGTACTTTAGAAATTTATATTTACTAAATAAAAATCAAAAACAAAACAAAACAAAACAAACAAACAAACAAACAAAAAATAAAATGTGAATGCATTAAAAAAAAAGTGGATCCCTGTTAGGAATTTGGAAAACATTATGTTGAGTGAAATAAGCCAATCCCAAAGGGACAAATACCACTTGTTCTCCTTGATAGGTGACAGCTAACTGAGCACCAAAAAGGAAACCTGTTAAAGTGAAATGAACACTAGGAGAAATGGTGACTTGATCAGCCCTCACCCTGACTGTTGATGAGCAACTTAATATGTTATCCCTCTTAGTATTTTTTGTTTGTTTGTTCTACTTAATACTTTTGGTTGAATACTGTAATCAATACACAATTCTTCTTATGTGCTGAAACTTAACTGAAAAGTGATTGCTGTTAAATGTAAGAGTGGGAATAAGAGAGGGAAGAGATGTGCAATTCGGGACATGCTCAAGCTGACTTACCTCAAACGGTAGAGTTAGAAACATACCAGGTGATTCGAATTCAATCCCATCGAGGTGGCATGTACCAATGCCATCTCACTAGTCCCAGTGATCAATTTCTGTTCACAACTGATTGTAATGATAGGACTAAGAACCAAAGGAATCACAGAAACAAGAATAGTGTCTGCAAATACTAGCTGATAGAATGAAAAAGGGAGAGAATGATCCAACATGGGAAGTGAGATACACAGCAGGCCCATAGAACGGCAGATGTCCTAAACAGCACTCTGGCCTCAGAATCAGCCCTTAAGGCATGCGGATCTGGCTGAAATGCCCATGAGACTATTTCAGGCATGGAAAGCCAAGACACTCTGGGGGAAAAAAAAAAAAACTAAATGAAAGATCTCTGCGAGTGAGATCCCAGTGGAAAGAATGGGTCATCAAAGAAGGAGGTACCTTTCTCTGAAGGGAGGAGAGAACTTCCACTTTGACCATGGCCTTGTCTAAATATGATCAGAGTCAGTGAACTCAGGGGGCTTCCATAGCCTTGGCAGCTCATGACAAGAGCCTAGGGTGATTACTGAGGCCATAAACAAGAGTGTCAATTTGTTAAGTCAACAACAGGAGTCACTGTGCACTTACTCCTCATGTAGGATCATTGTCCTTAGTGTGCTGTACATTGAGATGTAATGCTATAACTAGTACTCAAACAGTATTTTTCACTTTATGTTTCTGTGTGGGAGCAAACTGTTGAAATCTTTACTTAATGTATGCTAAACTGATCTTCTGTATATAAAGAGAATCGAAAATGAATCTTGATGTGAATGGAAGGGGAGAGGGAGTGGATAAGGGGAGGGTTGCGGGTTGGAGGGACGTTACTGGGGGGGAAGCCATTGTAATCCATATTCTGTATTTTGGAGATTTATATTCATTAAATAAAAGTTAAAAAAAAAAGTGGAGCAGCCAGGACAGAAACTGGTACCCATACAGGATGCTGGCATTGCAGGTGGTTGCTTTACCCACTATTCCACAATGCTAGTCCCTCATAGTTTCTACAAATATTATGTGTTCCTGTTATAAAATCATTTCAGCTGACACACAAATCCACTTTTGGCATTTTCCACCCGAATCTAATACTCCCAACTATTTGGCCACGAAATATTTTGAATTCCTCCTTGCCAGTAAACAGCACATGGAGAAGAGACCCTATTGCAATGGAACCACCAGAATTCCTACTATTGCTCTTGTCCCACACTGGCAACAAGACAAGAGGTCAAGAATGTGAGTGCCCCCAATCTTCACCACTGCAACCTCCCTCCCACTCTTCAATAAAGCTCACTTCTAGCACAGTTCTTTTGTTCCTTTTGCTTTTCCTGTCTCCTTACCTCAAATCTTTAACATCCAAATACTGACTTTCCTTTTCACTTTTGCTCAATTCCCCAAGCTGCTCTGCTTCAAAGCTCTTTCAGGTTCTTTTCTATGCATCACTCCTTGCTTTACTTTGACTTATCCCTTTTCCAAGCTTGATCAATGCACGTGTATTCTCTCAGTGCTTTCTTCACCCAGCCATCTCATTCTCATTCTAGAGTACTCACACAGGCTGCTTCTTATGCATCAGATTCCTTCCTTAATAGAGGGCAAGACTTGACCTTTCAACCATTTCCAGAGAAAAGTTCTAAACCAAAGACAAGCACACCTGCCACTTCAAATGAGAGATTTGTATCTTCATTTGTACCCAGGGCTGGCTTCATGGGCCAATGACATGTACAGTCACCTGGGATCCTATGCCTAAAGCCTCTGCACTTGGTTAAATGCTCTGTCACTTCCTTGAATTGCTTAATAACTTGAACAGGGGTCTTGCAATTTCATTTTGCACTGCAAATTAAATTGCATGGCTGACCCTGCTTATTCATCATACTGGTATGCTTTTTAGTTAGTTCCTTTTCTTCCTCTACCTCTGACACTTATCATTCCCATATAGGTTTAACTCAGGTTTCACCAACTGCACAAAATCTTTCATGAGAGTATATCCACAAAGAGTGTTAGCACTTTCAAAGAGGTTGGAGTTTTTCATTCCCATACCTCTCTTCTATTTCTATGTCATACTCTTAGTCTGTCATGGCTGCATCTTCCCAACTAAATTTTATACATCTTAATTGTGTTTTATTTTCTCAAATCATTGTGGAACTTTGAAAGTACTAAGCACGTGAGAAATATATTCACCAATTGCCTGCA